CCCCCCCACCCAGTCATTAAAGTTTGTCAACTATTGTAGTAAAAATTCAGGACATTTTTTGTGTCAATAATCAAACATCTCACCCTTGTCCTCAATGACGGAGTTCCAGCTCTACTATCCAAAGCAGCTCGTTTCTTTTGGTCACGAACTGTAGGAAAGATAAAATTGTTACTTTTATTTATTGGTAAATTTGTTCTAAAATCTTCATTGATAGGCAATCTCCATAATTCAAGTGTAATTCAAGTGTTTCTCCACTAATGAAATTCTTCGGGACCAGTTGAATTTGAATAACATTTCATATTTTCAACAACCCAAATGGATATAGCCAATCTCATCTGATTATTTAAAGGTTGCCACCATGTTGCTAGGTAACTGGATTTATATCATGATCTGCAACTCCAGTGATGACAGGGAACAACTCAACACTTGAAAATGACCAAAACCGTAACAGCCAGACAAGTCACCACTATCATAAATTTCTGGTTACCTACATGTATGTTATACAGTGTAGCTACCAAGCCAGCTTCTTCATTTATTTTCACTTGAAACTAAAGCCCTGTCAAAATGGGAAATGTTTAGTGACCAAAACTAATCAAACATTGATTGGTGACCAAACATGTTGATATTGTACTGAGTGGCCAAAAGGTATCAAAGATGTCTGATCACCATCCAAACCAACAAAATGATTTACAATGTTTCGTCAAATGTTTCAAATTTTATCAAACACGCTCAGTTAAACAAGATCAAACAAGGTCTGCAACCAGGAAAATGCTTGGGCACCAAACTATGTTTGATCATGTTTGGTGGACAAACATTTCCTGTTTAGACAGGGCTTAACATTACCTCCCTGATCTGGGTTATATATGCAAAAAAAAGTTTGAAAATGAAACAATTTAATGTTTCAATTATCATTGTAACATACCTTTTATATGTGTTTTCATGGATTTGGGAGGAGATGTATCAACAGCAGCTGTACAATGGAGAAAAGCAACAAGGGAAACCATACTATTAATTTTTGAACACAACTTACCGATGAAGAGACACATTTTATGACTTTACAACTTTTTGCAAAAAATAGACAGAATATAAAAAAAAACAATTATTTAGGACAGATACCTTTTCAGATATTATAGAAAATTGTGTTTGGTGATAATTTCCATAATTTGGGGATAATTTCCAGTCCATACCGCACAGTTTCAGCACCCCAATGTTTGTGAGTCTCACTCGCTGGAATATGAATCAATGTTATTTGTTACAAACCACTTACCTTATCTCCGAGGCATTTTAAATTCTTTTTCCAATACTTTCTTTGATTTTTACAGCTATGAATTTGTTTCATCAACTTGAAGTGATGTCAGAAAGAATGAAGCATAAAGCTTTCGCATCCATAATGGAAGTTGACATGAAATGAAATGAAATGTTGAAATCACTTCATGTAACTAGTTGCAAAATGTTACATTTTGTGATGTCTTACATGAGTCAAAACAAAAAAGCGTAAACAAACTCTCAAGGGTGCACAGTATGAACTGGAAATCACCTTTAGTTGCTGAATAAATTATAGATTATTATAATGGGGACAGTTATAACTGTACTTTATTCAGGTTGGGAAGGGGGTCTTTATTCCCATGAGTTTCAAACTTTTTCACATAATTTACAATTTGAGAAGGTTCACATGTCGCTGTGGGAATTTCGTCCAAAGCCACGTGGCTGATACTATCACCAAAATATTCTATCCTTGGATAATCATCCACCAAATTGAGAAAAGGGGAGAAAAGGGTATATCTGCAATAAGGCTGTTTCCCTTTGCAGACAAGTCTCTCTATAATTTAAAAACTGTCAGCATTGTTGTCTGTTTTTCTTTCCTCTTTGTCTCATCGTTCATTATAATTTCAGCTTCCCATGTCACCATTTCAGAGCTAGCTGTGTTGCCTGATGGACTTAACCCTAACAGGGACTCTTTTTATTGTATTATTGAGATTGTTGTGTTTCAAGGAAAAATACCTAACCTCCCCAAGGAAGATCAGTGGAAATTATGAGGGGGTGGGGGTTTTCAAACAGTGGAGCATGACTGTTTGTGGTTCTGATTAGTCTGACCTTCTAGTATAACTTAGATTATAGCATAGCGCACGCACTAGTGACCTGTCTAATTCCCACTGAGCCATCCTGGTAGAAATCTCTACATCTCTTCACCATGTATTGTGAGAACTTTGTAGTCAATCACAAATTAAACATGTTTTATCACCCAAGTTGTTTTTGCTATGATTGTCATAAAAAAAATTGGTTCAAGCTTTTAGCTGTGCCTATAACAATCAGTTATGGATGCACTTTGGAAGTTTGGAGAGCACTCAAGAAGCTAGAGTTGCTCTCTGCTTCACCTCAAGCAACTCTCACGCTTTTCTCGTGCTCTTCAAACTTCCTGCATGCATCCATAACTTGATATACACACACTAGGTATGAACCAATTCTTTGATTTTCTTATCAGAAAACCAAGAGAACAAAAGAACACCTTTTGCAGAGGTGATGCGTCTATAGTGAGACTTCATGTGGTTTGCAATGAAATCCTGTCCCATGTATGACATAGCTGTAGGTGCAAGGACTGCAAAAGCAAGAAGCTTATGTTATATTACGTAAAATGTAAGCCATACTCAACTATTTAGAAATTCAATACTGCATTTAAACAAAACCCAGTTACAAATGCAGACATGTCCACCGCATGAAAGTGGGCTAATACTTGGAAATTACTGTTTAAAGGCTAACAATACTGCACTGTGCCTGTGCAACAGGAACACTGTTGTAACTGGAAAACAAATAGAGGGGTTTTCAAATGAGCAATAAGCAAATCAATTTTCAGAAACAGCGTATTAAGCCCAGCTTTTCGTGAAAGATTATGGAGCTAATAGAGCTCGCTCACGTAATCTGGATTCCACCTACAAAAACCTTTGAGCTACTACTTAAAGTGGCAATATATAACGTGGCTTTCATTCTCATAACTAGGTTGCTCTGGACGAAACAAAAGCAGCAACTTTACATCACCTTACGTAAGACATGTGAACTGAATTTTCACTGAGGCTTTTTATAATAAAAGTCGCGTTTAAAATGTTAAAATGTTTAAGATTCCATCTTGTCTTCTGCCGACGATTCCACTCACCGCTACTCTTCAAGGTGAAATGACCACGTTGTAAACGTGTCTGTGAATTACTTCCCAAGCTCATCCCTATTAAACATGCAGCAAACTGTCCTGTGGCATCTTTACGCCTCTAGCCACAAAGCTACCGGAACGAGGAAATCAGTATTTCTTTGCGAAAGGAACATCCCGAGAAGTTAGGATCGCGGGCTCGTGAACGCGGTGTTTTATTTCCAGGGCAACAGGAGCAAAAATAGGTCCGCGTTGCATACTAAAATCGGCGAGAAGAAAGGGGGCTGATGTCGTTTGTTGTTGTTTTCGTTTTGTTTTGTTCTGCTTTGCTTTATTTGTTCACTATATTTTATTCGCAAAAATTGATGTATATCTGCTACAAAAGATAAAGCATAAACGGGCAAGAAATCTTAGACTGAGCTTTTCTAAGAATAACCCCATACGTCAAAGAACTAATTTAAATTTAGCAGATAGACATAGTTTTCGCATGAAACGCCAATCAAGGTTTTTTTTTCCCAGTTTAAGAACTGATTATAATCTAAGAATACATATGACTTCAAATGACGCATGCGAGGAAAGTAAAAAAGAAAGAGGTTTCTTCGCAAATATTCCTCCTACAATCTACTTGCATATTCTTGCCTCTTACACAGAATCTCTTTTCATACAAGCACAAGACGCAAATGAAAGGTAAGAAACTTTACTGACATGAAAGTAGCTTAATAATTTTATGCCGAAAATCTGCTCACGTTTTGAACAAGTCGGTGTCGGTTTTTGAATCCTCACATGAGTTTTTGCTGTTTTTTTTGTTTTTGTTTTTGTTTTGTTTTTTTCACTCATTTTTTTGTTTTTAAGTGGTTGAAAATAGCAGATTTAGAATGATTTTTACCACCAAAATCGGTGAAAGAAATAATAGCCAATGCCATTCTGAAAACTACAAACTGTCTCATTTGACTCAACAACCTAGACTCAAACGAAACATTAAATCGAAAAGGCTTGTAAGTCTTTTAAATGAACAAAAACGCAATTTAATGAAGAAAACACTGGGACAAAGCAAGCAACTATTTATTATCCATGACTGCGAATTTACTTTCTACGGGGCTACAATTCTATTTAATTCAGTCTGCGCATTGCTACAATACAAAAGTTCTTTGTATCATAACTTTAAGGGATTGAAAATCGGGTTTTTACCACTGAAAATCAGTATTCCATTCTCAGTGAATTTTTCCAGTTACTAGAAGGGCAAGAGTTATATACAAAACAACATGTGGTACAAAACTTATGATACAAAG